TGAATATGATAATTCAAACGTTTCGGTGTCTTACTTAACCAAGGCAAAGTTTTGAATGCCTTGAGATGAAGAATCCAATCACCAATGACAAATGTGTACAGACCCATGGACTTACAGTATCTGTCATAACCAATAATAGAATGGTGTATTTTATTACAGATTTTATCAAATCTCGAACAAGCTTTATTATCCAAATCGTCGTTGGGTATGTTAAATTATGGATCTGATTGGGACCAATATATAGAACTTTTAATACAAACCAACATTTCAAGATGTATAATGCATTTAGTCAAACTAGCTCCCTGTCTCGATTTTTTATTCTTATAATCATGACTAAAATGTAGAAATGTCTAATTTTCTAACATCACTATGGTGATCGACATGTCCTATGTACATTGTTCATAGGCAACGAATATTCAATATATCTAAATCTATTCTGCAACGTTACGCTCGAGATTAATTACAGTTAAGAGTCCTTACTAAAAATGTTGACTCAAGAAGAAATTAATTCATAAACTTTCTCATTCAAATACCTCCTCATCGATTTATCATGTTTTCTTAGTGGGTTACAGAATAATCTTTATATTTTCAAAGGCAATTTTTTGGTCGAACATGTGTCAAAATTCCTTTGCAGTTCTGACGTTTATCAAGCTTCTAATCAATAAATAATTTCGTTTAAGTAAGGAAATTAGCGTATACATAATATGACTCTAAAATTATTGAACATAATTAAGAACCTAATTTCAATAACCTAATTACAGACCTTTTTGTTGCTTTGGGGCAATAATTGTGTCAATTCCATAAATTGTATTAACAATTTAACACAGTGTGGTAGCCGTAAGGATGACTTAAGTTTCCGTAATATTCACATCTAACATTCATGACGGAGAGTTCTTAATCAGTTTCGTATTAACAGTTTTTCTTATTCCTCGATCTGTGGCCTTGCAATTATGTACTTTAAAAATTAGTTACATGCAACTCAAAAAGGACGATTTACTGGGTCGCTCCCAGAGCTCAAAATCACGGTGTACTATCAGAACGCTGATCAATACATTTATTCCGGAATGTTTCAAGTGCCGCGGAGCTTAGAATTGGCGACTGTAGATGATACGATGACGACCGCAGGTATTACTCCACGCTTGACCAGACTCACTTCTTATTGTCAATGAATCGTTTCCCTCGAAATGCTCCGGCGATTTTAAGACATTGTTCTATTTGAACATGTAAGCTACACGAGAGCGTCTCTTGAATAGGAGAATCTCATCAAGACTACGTTTTGGCAATAAAATCACAATTTCGATCATGCATTTTATTTTGTACCTTGGAGAATGCACCAAAATATATCTCGATGCTCTAAGTTTGACTCAACTAATGATACAAATCAACAAAAATGACATTTACCATTTACTCGTTGAGTGACAAATATTGCTTTGTGCAGCTTTTTAAAATTCCGTCAAACATAAGCCGTTAGCTAAGTCATACATTGATATAACACTGGTCATGAAACCGGTGACACAGTAAATTAAGATAGAAAATGTCAGACAGGTACTAGTTATTGCCAACCGCCATTATTTTTACCCTGGAGCTGCGTTTCTCTGAAATCAGAGCAGCTGTCTGTAACAGCGTTTTGGCTGTGCGCCGTAAAAAATCGAGCCTAATTGTTTCAACTCAAACAAGCCAGTAATTTAGCAATTTTGTAAATTTTGCAGGATAAGCCCCGAAATAAAGGCTGTTGGAAAAAAGTATTATCTAAATGTGGACAAAAATGTCTTACCTCAATATACAGGGTGAGCCAAGCCAAGGTAACCCTAACAAATGCTGAATGACTAAGTTATCAACGTGCATTTGCTTGGGCTACCTTTTTGGATCACCCTATATTCATTCTGTTTTGGTACAGTTCAAACCAAAATCAATACTGTTTTGTCAGAACCAACATTTTGTCCTTGAAAAGAAAAATGTTTGCAGACTGAGCGCAAAAAGAAGGAAAGGGAAATTGCAAATATGACGCCCTGATTTAACAACTTGACGTTCTCTCAAATACAATTCGTTCATGCTTTGTGTCATTTTATGAAACATATGTCTAAAAAGATTAGATCATAAATTATAGCTAATATGATATCGTCTTCATCATTAAAGTAACGTTCTTCTACGAAAAACCAAAGTAACCCCCTGGGTTCTCGCGAAAATGGATGGATGGAGTTATTGGAATTGCAATTCTATCAAAATAGTCTGTAGTTGAATTAATAACATATAGCACTGGGAATATGAATAACTTCCTTAATTAATCGTCCTAGCTACTTATTTCATATACGCTTTTATGTTTTCTGATGTTTTTCACAAATTACACTTGATGCTTTTTCTCATTTAGCAAACTTTTTATAGTCTAATAATTAAAAGTCTAATGAAATATTCCATTGTCTGTACATTCTAATTTCCATGAATGCAACTTAGTATAACCACCTTGCCGGGCCAGTTTTAGGGGTTTTAGTGCTAGTTTAGAGGCATTCATTTTACCTGAGCTGACCTGAGCAATATGTGGGCGGGCAATATAGTGAAATATTGGACCTTGGGCCGTCGGCCGTCGGTCCAATATTTCACTATATTGCCCTTCGAAATGACGTTATTGTACTAATCTTCTACTTTCCATTTGCAGAGGTCATGTGATTAATGTGTATATGAATCAATAGTTTCGAAATTGTTAGTGTGATGTTGTGTCACTGAATATATATGGTCAGGATATCTCAAATGTTTTCACTCTCTCAATCCAAAACTAGTTTTTATATCACCAGAAGTTGTGACGTATTGTTATACTCTCAAACAGCGTTCGGCGGTTTGCGGTTGGTGTTCGGCGGCCGGCGTCTGAAACAAATACCAGGTGATCAATTGATGTCGTCAAACCATATTGCAATCGGGAATCAATATGTTTGACGCCATTCCTGAAAAGAATTGATTCTTTGGTGTCACAGTTCTCAAAAAATGTTAAGACCTGAGTTAAACCGTGTACCAAAAGCTTTATCGTAAGTTAATAGAAATAGTTATACTTTTTGAAAACACAACACTGGTTTGGTCTCAAGGTGAAAGTTGAAGGAAGAAAACATCCTCCCCTCCCATCGAATGCCATGATATTCTATGAGTGTCTCTAATATAAAAAGCGGAAGAAGTGCATCGCATAGCCTACTACATAACAACCTATGAAAGAACTGTAAGAACCGTTAACGTGTTTAGACTGTTAACTGAAGAACAGTTTTGATTAGATTTTTCATCCTACAATTGTGTCGTATTTGAACAAAAACATGTATTGAAGAATGGTTGTAAACGCTGTCAGTTTCCATTTTCCCGAGAGATGCGATAATGTTGACATAACTTTCATTGTTAAGTAGAAAAGTGATATCAAACCAAGTTCAACAAGACTTTATTGCAAAGCAAATTGTTATTTTTGAAGCCAATGTACCAACTTCTGTTTTATGCGATTAAAATACAACGAAAAATGACGTAACTAAGATTTTTATTCAATGGCCCATTGAAACTTGCGAGAGAACAAATATTGGAAGTGATAGCAAATATTCAAATGATCATAAATGCAATTATGGACAAAATTCCACTTCAAATCGCTCCGCAAAAAAGGTTTGCTTTATCATGCAAACAGATAAAATTGTATTTGAAGAGTAGAAATTACGGTCATTATAAGAATGAAGAATGATTGTCACAGTTCGCAATGGAAGGTCATCGTTTTCAGAAAATAATTGAGATTAAAATGTTCCTGAAACGGTCGAAGAAAACAATATTCATCGAAAAGAATAAACCCAAAACATCTTCTGATCGGTTCCTTAACCAGGCAAAGCAGGAGCTGCATCTGTGCTTTCGTATTTTCAAGATACTAGGTGCATTTGATAGAAATCTAACGCCCCAGTTCTAAATCTATACACTCACAGGCTGGTATCGAAATATTTGTCCGCTGTGACGGAGCATGCTATTTTTTATAAAAACACTAAGAATACTTCACGATTTATTTTTTAACTCATATGTTTCGTTATACCATACAAAATTACTTACTCCATGCAATGGATATATCATTTGCGGGTAACTTTCACTTCTGTTTGAAGTCCAATTACGCTGGGAAGGAAAACTATTGAAAATGGCGCCGAAGTTTCATACTTCAAAATGTACCATTTCTTGTTTAACTTTCTAGTGGCACGATATAGTGACACGATAATATTTACACATGGTTTCAGCATAACTATGAAGGTATAAATGAGATGTTGATGTATTTGGTCTTTTTAATTCTTTTATAAAAAATAATGTTTAATTTTTTTGTCCGCTGTAACGGAGCAGTTGCAAATGTGAACTGTGAAAATGCTCCGTCACAGCGGACAAAAAATATTAATATTATTTTTTATAGAAAAAATTAAAAAGACCCAATGCATTAATATCTCATTAATACATTCAGAGTTATGCTGAAAACATATTTTAATATTATCGTGTCACTATATCATGCCATTGAAAAATTAAACAAAAAATGGTACATTTTAGAATTTGATACTCTGGCGCCGTTTTCAATAGATTTTACTCCTAACGTTATTGGACTTCAAACAGAAGTGAAGGTTACACGCAAATGATATATCCATTGCATGGAGTAAGTAATTATCTTTGATATAACGAAACATATGAGTTAAAAAATAAATCGTGAAGCATTCTTAGTGTTTTTATGAAAAATAGCATGCTCCGTCACAGCGGACAAATCTTTCGATACCAGCCTGTGACACTATAAGCACTCAACAAATCAGGATTCAAACATCTCCCAATTAATGTAAATAATTAAACATCCGTACAATCTAGGATGATTGCTTTGTCCGGAACTTGACTGATTAGCGTAACGACGGAAATATAACTACAGTAACATAAATCATTTGTTGATAAATGACAGTTTGATCATCATGTTATTTAGACTACTTGCTCGTTTTTGGTACTTAACAAAGTTCTCTCACATTTATTTCCAGATAGTTTACAAGCATGGCTTCTTCACCAATGTATGGTACCTTATCAATGGTGTCTGAAAATATAGGTGCGATTCTTACAACTCGTAATGACGCTAGTCGTGAACGTATAATAACTGAGACTGACTTTGTCACAACATTCATAAGTGCGACGACTGAAAATTCTACTACCAACGTCACACTGAACGGAAATGTGGTCACTACGGTAGATGAGGATGATACTCTCGAGCATGCAAAGTATTACGATGTGCATATTCTTATTATTGTGTGTATAATGTGCAGTGCTGCCATTCTTGGCAATTCTTTATTAATCGCAGTTCTGAATCAAATTCCGGGCAAGAAGACTCACCTGTTGATCATAAACTTAGCTATAGGCGACCTTGGCGAAGCTGCCATGTTTCTGATTGATGAGATTATATATCCATGGACTGGGAGCGAACCGTGTGTAACGATGGTGACTTCGGCTATTTTTAGAATGTTTGATTGTGTTTCTATTCTATCGTTGTTTGCATTAGCTATAAGCCAAACTATGGCCATCTGCAGACCTTTACACTATCCATCATTGGTGACTCGCACCAGGGTCCGAATGACTGTACTTATCATTTGGTTGGTTAGTTTGGTTCTCCCACTTATAGGAATACTGGTACCTCTGGGAGATTCCAATTGGGCGTCCTGTTCCTGGACGCATATCGCCTACGATGTCACCGAGTGGATCTTCTCAATTGTCCTAATCTTTGAAGTGTTTGTCATCATCGTTCTCTATGTTAGAGCCTATCTTCAAGTCCAGGCATACAAGAATAGAAAATCAGAGCTTACCCAAGGTATGAGTGTGGAACAGAATAGGAAAGCTTTTCTTACGACAATGATAGTCCTTAGCACTCTTGTTATTACCTGGCTCCCTTACCTGATGTACCGCTTCTTTGTTTGGAACATCATGTTTAAATTTAACCCTGATTCTGTAACGGAAGTACACACGGATGTCTACATGAACTTCATTGTGTTCTTGCCTGTCGTTAACACCATCAGTGATCCCATCATTTACGGTGCCCGCATGCCGGATGTCCAGCGAGGGCTTAAGAGATTTTTCAAATGTTGCCAAAAGAACCGAGATATACAACGGAATGATACTACTAGTTTTACTACTTCTTTACGTACTAACACAAAAGTGAATGGCACTAACAATAGCATCCATAATGCACATTTGGCTAATGTTATTAAAAAGAACATGGTACCTGTCGAAGTAAACGTTGCAAAGAATGGTAATCATTTCCATATGACTATCGACAACAAAACTCCCAATAAGCTATCTAATCTTGATACAACTGACACTGTAAAGCGGAAACAGGAGGAGAAATGTATCAGAAATCAACTTCAAAATGACCTTGATACATCTGCAGAGACAAGGTTATAAATGTGAACTAGTCATTGAGATAACCGCTGTATCTACTCTTCATCCTCGCAAGCGATATATTGCATTTAAGAAGGGAGCTGATACATCAGAATGACAGGAAATAACTAAACAGCAAAGAAGAATTACACGTTTTTACGCCATACTTTCAAGAACTGACGAAAAGCCATTACTTCGGAATGTTGCGAGTGTTTATAATATGGCATCATCTAAACAACTTACACACACAAACAACTAAAAATCAAATAAGCACTCTGGGTTCTGCGGAAACAGAAAATAAGTGGTAACTAGGGAAACCAAATAATATCACTGGGCGAAAGAAAATAGTTCGAGGAACGAAATCAAATTGAACAAAAGAAGATTTTCGTTTGTAAATACTTATTAAGATATCATCATACTTAATTAATCATGTGTAGCCTGAAATCATGATATCCTCTATTGACAAATCAATTTCTAATCCCATTGTATAAAAAGATAGTATTTATTTACTGTTGCAATAACTGCTATTCAATGGATGGATTGTTTGACGGGTCTTTTGTCTTCTGTGATACTTTATTTATTTGCGAAGTGTGCAGTAATTCTCTGAAAATCCCCCTGAGCTTATTTCAATTAAAATGAATGTGTATCGGTGTAATTCGTATGTGTATATTAGCATACTGTATATAGGCAGAAACGTTTATATGCTCGGGGGAAAGTTACTCGATATAAATCATATTCTTAAAAGGCTAATTCATAAGATCATAAGCGTTCTATTTTTAAGTTCTATCCATGTATTAATTTATTCATTTATATACATGCACTTGTCAATTCTCTCCTCAAAATAGTTGAGCAAACATGGGTCAAAATATAATCGTGTATCTATGTAAGTTCATCTCTCTGGTTAATATATCAGAAACAAGTCAAATTCTTTACTTCAGAGAATATTTTTAATTTATTGAGACTTTCGACTAATATCCCTTAGTCTTTTTCAAAATATAACAGCATGTATATGTAACAATGTAAAAATCATTGATAATGAGAGTCATGATCTTAAACGTAGGGTTAAGGAAGCAATTCATATTAAAACAATGCAACCTAAAATGAACAGAGATAATGGATATCAGTTGGACAATTTGTATCATAAAATATTGTAAATTAAGAATGGTATAGCAAAGTATGCAATAGTAATATTTGAGTTTAATTGTTACCATAACGATGATATATTTATCTTAAGGTTATTATTAGGTCATTCGTTTTTTCGTATCTATGTTTTTTGTTGTTGTTATTTTTTAGGTTACTAGGTCATTTGTTACATAATTAAATTTTCCATTGTCTGTTTATGACGTCACATAAATGTATACATGCTGTTATATTTTGAAAAAGACTAAGGGATATTAGTCGAAAGTCTCAATAAATTAAAAATATTCTCTGAAGTAAAGAATTTGACTTGTTTCTAATCGTGTATCATTTTGAACTTCTGCTGATTACTAAATGAAAATAGTATATTATTAGGATGGGTTATTTAATGGAACCAATTTTGAAGGGTTGCAACAATTTCAAAATGACCCTTGGTTTCAAATTACCTCTAAAGTTTTAATGAGTATGTTTTTGGTGTGAGGGAAGCATATGTAGCAGATGAAGCATACCTTATTTTTTCTTAGTGGACTTATCAAACAGAGTGTCGTACTTATAGTTTTGGTTTATGTATTCACACCGTAATATTTAAAACAATATCGTTACGTGTGGGTAATGGGTGAACGAATCGACATAACACTTTCGCACTCCTTACCTTTCGATGATCTAAGTTAGAAAATTACTTAGATGCACAATTTTTGTTAAATATCATCCGACATTTATCTTCATTACAAGTTTTTAATCTTCATTAAAATGATATATGATATAGTTATTAAGGAATACCAATGATCATCCAGAAAGACAGACACATAACAGAAATGTATGAAATACTAAATGGAACATTGTTATTCTCTCGAAATAAATATGTAGTTGTTGTATAATTAAGTTGTAGATAACATGGATGGGCATTATAAATGTACATGTAATTGTGTTGTAATTGAAATTGATAGTGAATTGTAGAAAATTATGACGATTATCAATAAATTGAAATTCTTCAAAATTGGAAGCAAATCGTCAGCAATTGTTCTCATTTGTCCTCATTCATATCCCTAGATAATTGATAAATTGCTAATGATAGCATTTAAAAATCGCTAATGATAGCATTTAGAAAAAACTTTTTCATATCCATTTTAAAAACGTATTAATGTAGAGGACACTTTAACGCTTGTTTCGCTTTGATGACCTACGGTTATGTCAACAGTCAACAGCAACACATAAAAAAGTAAGTTTAAAATCATTTTTACCTAATGGTTGATTTGCTTTAAGTGAACATGTCTGATGGACCTTTAATTTGTATATTTATACGAGTATATTGATTTGGGTGCGTTTTAAACAATGTATATCGGGCTCAGCTTCGCATGTCACTACTACTTTTATGTTGGAAGTAGTCTTCAATTCTTCAATTTGACTCGAAGTTTTTGGTAACAACTATAAACATATTTTTAGGGTTCAACAGACTTTTGGCAATGATTGTTATTATGGCATCGAATTAGGGGAGTTATTGAAATTTAACATATTTGGTATATCATTTTGACTTCAAGAAGCCGTAGGTTTTAACCTAACAAGCCAATGAGGATTGGCTTCAAGGATCGAAACTCGATATTTTCCAACAATTAAAACGTCGAAATATCGTTATTTTCTGAAATTATAACCGACTATACATTTAAAATAAACAGTTCAAAAGATTCGAACCAATATCTCGATCATTGTTTGTGAGTTTTGGGCATCCCCATATATGGGACAGAATATCGATGTTGCATTCTGGGAGCCAATCCTCCTTGTTAACAAGCTAAGGATGTCAAGGAGGATTGGCTCCCAGGATCGAAACTCGATATTTTCCAACAATGAAATCGTCGAAATGTCGTTATTTTCTGAAATTATAACTGACTATAAATTCAAAATAAACAGTCCAAAAGATTCGAACCAATATCTCGATCATTTCTCCTGAGTTTTGGAATTTTTCGTTCGGAAACAAGACCAATATTCACGATTCAAATACTGAAGTGAACAAAATGGTGGCTGTTTGAATTCGAATTTTGTATCACGACATGCCCATATATGGGACAGAATATCGATGTTGCACTCTGGGAGCCAATCCTCCTTGTAAGGATGTGATACATGTTAGCAATACATGTTACCATGACAACAAATTATGAAACTTAGAATACTTCTAAAATCGGTTACACTTTAATCCATGTGATTATTGATCACCCAAAGGCATGTAATGGACATCTCCTGATATGAGGCAATGTCAATGGTGAACCTTCAATAAAGTAAGTATTCACTGTTTATTATGTGCAAGCAAGGGGTTAAATTGTTTCGTGTGTGCGCGACGCATTAATATGAAGGTCGGATTCTATTGCAAACATGAAGCCGCCAAGTTCGAGAATCTTAATTAATGATGTAGTACATCATCTATAGGAAAAACGGAGGGAAAACATAATTTCAAATTTCGGTCTTATGTCACGCAGCGTTTTGAACCATGAAGTGGTGCAATGTGCTACATTTTAAAACGTTACGGATTCATACCGTTTGAATAACAACTGATCAATGAAAATATAAAATTGAAAAACAAGATAAAGTGAATCAAAATAGAAAAAGGACGGACCAACGGACGGACGGACGCCTGGTCGATCCCATAGGCTCACTATGTGAGCCAATGACACACTCTCGACACTGGTGATACTTGTCCTTGTGATTCAGGACAAGTTTCACAGTCTAAAATTGTTTAAAGTTCATTTCATGGGTAATACACATCTAACATCTTCCGTGTTGGTAGCGCTGACTGCAGACACTGTACAAAGATAAATCAAAAAGTCGCGCACACACGAAAACAAACAAAAGTCAAGCATTTCCTTTGGGTCAAAAAAATAAGTGGGTCGGCCGGACAATTGATCATCACATCTATTGTATTAAGATAGCGTATATAAAGCAAATCTTATAAAATGGATTTCATGAAAGGATATGATGAACTAAATTGAACACGTGTTACTCTTAAACACGTCATCGACAAATTCTGAAAAAAATTGCATGTCAATTTATTGTCATCTTTTGAATGGAATCAATTTAATTTGAAAAAAAAATATCTACCAATTTTTGGTCTCTCAATATTGTAATTGTACAAAAGAAAGTTTTGTTCATTTAGAATAAGTATCTTGTTCATGAAATTAAAGGTATACTGTAATTTTTATCTATTTTGGTATGATTATATTATTTTTTGGGATGCTTTTTTAAAATGAACCAAACTTTCCTTTGTATAACTATAATATTGAGAGATCTCAAATTTGTTCTTTATGCAATTTTGGTTCGGATAGATATTTTATTTCATCCTCAAGAATTGGTAGAAAAGAACAAAAACTAATTGCACTATGAAACAAATGTTCTCAAAAACAATTGTATAAATAATTTTCACATTAAATTGTTGTCAATCAGTGACCATTTTTGGATCGTGTTTTTTACAGAATATTTTCAATAATTGGTTTAAGAGGAACAATGTTGAATTCAGTTCACCATATCGTTCCCGATACTTCATAGAGATGCAACTTCAAGTCAAGTTAGGAAAGTTTTCATCATGACAGAAGACTCACGCATGTTACCGATGAACAGACTTTAGAATGCAAAGTAAAATAAAATTATTCATTTTCATAAAAATTCTTATACAGAAACGAATTCTTAAGTGGCATATCGTATGAATTGTTCGAAAATAGCCTGAACGAATAAGGTTTCTATTCAAAAATAGGATGTTATGAACATAAACTGATTACGGTTCAGTACACATTAACACTATGGTCTCCGCAGAAAATCTATAACGATTTCAAAAAACTTATTTTCGGTAAATACCAAAGTTAGCCTTGAAAAAACCTTGCTCACCTAGAAAGTATATTTGTCCTCAGGAAATACGTGAAGCACACTCTCAACAAAAATTTTGATACATTTCATGTTGCTTCGAGGTGAGCATTTTTCAGTTCCTGATCTTGATATATTCAGAATAGGTAGTTTTTATCAACCCCATCGATAGTATAACAAACAGACTGCTAGGATTTCTATTTTGGACTGATTTTGAGTTGCAAGAGCAATATATTATCTCCAGGCTTTCGTCTGACCATCAATCATCTTCAGGTAAAGATTAACCTCATTTCTACGAACAAAAGTTTTAGAGAACAACTCTACACACTGAAAATACCACACACATAACATATTCTCGGCCAATGCCATCGAAATTTTACAAACAAAACGTCGATATGATATACTAGACTTTAATTTACGAAATACTACCAGACCATGATCATGACAAATATTATCATCAAGAACATGAAAGAAGAAACCACTTATCCGAGCTATCAGTCAACTAGTCCACACTAGTCAACTTGTCAACTAGTCCACACGTAATCTGGCATTTATCTTGGACAAAAAGATGCTTATTAAAGATTTGAAATGTGGTTTGAACTTTCATTATCAAGTTCACAAAACTGGGAAATCACACAGACGTAACCGCAACAAGGTTTCAAAATCAAAGGAATGCACATTTTCAATTGTAACCAGAAACAATAAACGTAAAACCACTTCGATATTCAACCATAATGCCCATCCTTCAGATCACCAGTTAACTTCGCTGCCATCACATCTAAGACATGAAAAGCCTTTTTATAGATGGAATTGGCGAGTGTCGAGCGATTACAGTCGAATTTAGTAATTTCCCAATGAGAACATGTACTGGATCACCTCCGATTAGGAGTGAAAAGCTTTGAAATAAAGATGGAATTTGAGTGAAATTTAGTGAATAATGACATGTACCGGGTTACCTCCGATCAGGCGTTATTAAAGAATGCATGGAATCGGAAAGACATTTAACCCGACATTTAACAGTGTTTAGATGCACTTCTGATTTTATTTGTTTTTTCAATTGTTGTAAACTTGAGCTCGGTGAGGCTATTGCCTTTCTGCCATCGACAGCACTGGATAAATTCAGCCTGTGATAGTATTCTATCTTTAGTTCACAACACGCACCTTAACACTAACCAGTTTTACTTAAAATGCATAATTAAGGTAACGTTTTGGTCATTGAAGTGAATCACTTTCCAAATTATACGCAAATATCTTGGGTTCATGTACAAAGTATGGTTCAAAGCGGGAACACTTGTATGTATCAGAATTTACGTTTCCACAATAAACAGAGAGTCGTATGGTGTTCTTACAACAGAAGACTCCCGTAAAAGTAAAACAATCTCTCATCTTACAGGCTAGTATCTGTAGTTAGATATTCAACATTACGAATCCCAGATTTTTTGTCAGTGAAATGAGTCAACATTAAATACATTGCACTAGCAGGCAGCAGGAAATCCTACTTCATAACAGACTGAACTAGATGTGTTGCTTTTTTATAAAAATCAGATGCTCTCTAAATTGGGAACCGGGATGTAGTAAGTATTTAGAAATACAGCACTTAACTTACTATTTCCTATATCATTTGATATATACAAAAGGGCATTGGTTCAAAGGATTGGTAAGTACGGAAAATTCGTTTCAATCTTATGTACTTAAATATGACATTAAATGTTCACATTTCGTATAAGGGTAGCTAAATTCGAATAAATGGTTTTAAATATGCATATTCCAGTCGTACTTAATAGTGTATTCTTGATGATAACTAACAAAAATGAATTAATGGGTTAACATTTTCAAATTTCCATGTCAATATTTTTACATTAAGTAAAATACATTGTTCAAAATCAAAATATTTTGATTGAATGGAATTAAGAATGACATTTTACAAAAAATGCCTTACAAGATCTTTACAAGAGCATAAACATTTGTGTTGGCTGGCAGATGATGTACATTTATATTTATTTCCAGATCTTGTGACGATCCGCACCAGATTGGATGTCTGAAAAGTAAAGTGCGATATTAAAGTAACAACTATCCTGCTTTGCTAAAGCAGACTCATTATTCGCGATTTGAGGACAAAGTAGGTGATATTGGTGAAAATACGAAAAGGCTGGCCAAAAGGACTAAACATCGCAAATATGGCTTCAACAATGGATACACTTATGATGAACACATATCCAAATGTTACGAACACAACGTCAGAGCCATCACACGCAGAGATGTTTTACAACAGACATTCGCTTGTGATTGTGTGCCTCCTTTGCGGGACCTCCATCATAGCTAACTCTCTGCTTATCACATTGATACGCCTCATGCCCGGAAAATGTAACAGCACGCACTTGATTATTATCAACTTACTATTCGGAGACTTGGGCGAAAGCACAATGTTTCTCGTGGATGAAATTATCAATGAAGTACTCAAACCAGATTCTTCATGCTTCACAATGATAATGGATGCGCTATTTAGATTGTTCGACACTGTGTCAATTCTATCATTACTCGCCTTAGCCATAAACCAGTATATTGGGATATGTCGACCACTTCACTACCAAAGCATCGTGACTAGGACTAGAACTATAATTGCAATATGTTTCATTTGGGTTGTGTCGCTGATTTTACCCTTCATGATTGTTCTTACCCCATTGGCGCACACAAACTGGCAGGCTTGCCCAGCAGAACACTCTGTTTTTCAATCGGCCGAGTGGATCTTTGCAATTGTATTGATAATAGAAGTCATAACGATCGTGGTGCTGTATATGAAAGCCTTGATAAAGGTCCAGGCGTATAGAGCTAGACAATCTAGCTATACACACTGCGCGAATTTGGAACAGAATCGCAAGGCATTTGTTACTACGATGATCGTCCTCGCGACTTTGGTTCTCACATGGCTACCTTTTTTGATGTACCGATTTTTCGTTTTTACGGTCATGCGATTGGTCGATGAGAAATCTGTCACCATCTTGCATTCTGACGTCTATTACAACTTCATCTGTTTTCTCCCCTTGATAAACACGATTAGTGATCCCATCATCTATGGCGTCCGGATGCATGACGTTCAACAATGCATCAAACGCAAGTGCAGAAACTGTAACGGGGGCAAGAATGGATTACATGGCAACGGGACAACCTGCCTCACTCACGACGGAACTGACCACCATATTATTTACCACGGAGGGCAAAGATTATCCAGTCCCAAAACCCGCCAACATAGCAACATTGAACTTCATGATATTATATCAAATCCAAATAAATATGGGACCGGCGTGTAAGATATATATTCATGATATTATATATGATTTCAGTATTTAAAAATCTCTAGTCAACAGTACCTCGCTCGTGTATTACTGAAACGCTAGTTGAATATGGTGTTTATATTTCTATAGTTTCATTGTTTGGGATATATATATATAGGAATTTAATTATTTGAACTATCACATCTTATGTACAAATAGTTTACAGGAGATGTGAAACAAAAATGTTCAAGTCAGTTTTGGCATGGTGTCAAGAGTGATATCGCCTGAATCAGTTGATAATATGCAAATACATGGTTTGCAATAACTGTGACATAAACTACATGTATTTAGGCCAATCTTATCTGAGAATGCTTAAGAAAGCGTCAATACTGATCATCCCAATCCTAAAAGACCTTGAGAATGACATAGAACAGGAGAACACAGAATGTTGCCATTAGGCCTGACCATGGTTTTAGCACATCATTATTATTCGTGCGACGTCACTCTCCTTCATGCACAGGTTTGACTGGAACTGATATGATGAAACAAAGTTTGGGGGTTCCTCTTTAAAATGTAATGTTAGCTCTCTTTATAGTTTGGACCATTCTCTGCTTTTATCTCGGCCTTTTCTATTTTCCGTTTAATTAGTAAGGAATAAATATTCTGATAAGTATAGGGTGCAGTAGATATTTTACGTGAAACAATAAAGTTCAAAGATAGTCACGTATTGATTTTGGCCTTTCATCTGATACAATATAGGAAGACGATTTCAAAGCTATATGTTGATGCCCTTGTTCAAAGAACAAATCATGCTATGCAATGTACTAGTATGTCAATAGAAACAACAGAAGGTGTTCGATAGATAGTATATTAAATATTATCTTTTCATGGAACGAGACAACATTTAGCGTTTTAAAGTTGCCGGTAGTGAATATTAGGAAATCTGGAATAACCTAATTGCAAACGCTTGAATATAGGAGGGAATTCTGAGATGTCTCCAATGTACTTTTACATCCTCTAAAAAGAGAAAACGTTTAGTGTATCAAAATGACCACAAATGAGTGTTGAGAAATCCTAATTAGTTATCCAAATACTCGCATTCGCATATGCCATTTTATTACATTTTTATTCTAAAGGACTACATTTTTAGTAGTCTCTCGTCATAGTATTTGAATTGAAATTGAGTGATGCTCTCGGAAACGTATTCTCTCAATTGTTTTTCCTATGTTCTCGATACAGTTACAAAAACACATGTAAGGAAATAATTAATTTATGAAAAACTATGATGCTATTTTGGACTCTGAGAATGCCATCTTTTGAACAAATTGGTAAGGAGCCTGAATCGTATAAAAATGATATATAAATATAACTCAAAGCCTGGGTACTGGACACTAAACTAAAGTTTTTTCGAGGTCAACATTTTGACCTGAATAACCACCTATTTGGCATACTCCAAGTATATTTAGTTTTTCACTCAACTGCCAATTTATATATAAATTATCAAATTGATAAATTTTGATAAAATAAATTATCGAATTGATAATGGTAATCAATTGCACTGAATCTCAAACGATTCATATTTTTGTATATAAAGTGAAGTATAATGAAGTATATAATATATAATACATTATAGAAATTATTGTAATTAAATTAAATAAATAAATATCATTTGATTTTTGATTGCAAATCTGCATTCTTAACATAATTCGAAAAAGAGATAATATACGTATATGATATTTTGATATTTTATCTGGAAACTAAGTTCCCGATGATCGACTTATTCTAAAGGGTCAAGATTGCAGTTAAAAATCCCATTGAGGACCATTATAACGTTTCATGTCATAATATATTCATGGGCACAGATCTAGCTCAGCGAAACAGTGCCTAGTGTTCATTGGAGTCTTGTCTAGCTTGCCGTTACAAAATAATGATACGGTGACCACACCGTTTTTGAGATAGCTGAATCTGGAGAGAGCTACCACGGTAAAGCTACCTGTTTCAGAAAATTATTCTGCTCTACATAGTCTCGAAAATCACTCCGCCATCTCTAAAAATTCTGTTTCTAACCAAACTTGTAAATATTTCCTGATAGATTAGTAGGTATCTGGTCAACTCGGACCCTAGTTAACTCGGACCCTAGTCAACTCGGACCCTAGTTAACTCGGACCCTAGTCAACTTGGACCCTAGTTAACTCGGAACCAGTTATATTCAATGTAAATCAGAGGTTTTTGCTAAGTTAGAGGTGAAAGCAATTAACTATTAAGAATATTGGAATAGTTTAAGATATAATTTAATGCATTACTGAAATCTTTAAATAATGATGTTTATGTATATTTCTGATGAGTCAAAATCAATCTTTTAAAACCTTTATATTCTTATGCTATTTGCGTAATGTGTGATCAAATAGCTCTTTATAATTAAATATTGACTTTATATAGAATTGGAACTATACTATGTTTTTAAACAAATGAATTCAATTTACCTTGTTGTGTATAATGGTGTTATAATAACTTTGACTAAGAAACCTAATTAAGAAATCTTATATCCTCTGATAAGCATTTAATTAGGGTGTTGAAGTAAACAAAATATAGAGGTATTACATTAATTCCAAGATACAGTATGGGTAAATGTGTTAGCACATTTGTGTTTTAAACAATTTTATTTCCAAATTAATTTTCTAAACATGGGTGTAAAATTACTTTCTGTTTGTCGAAAATACATGATTACAGTATTTCATTACATATTTTTATTTCATATTTCAAAGCTTCAAATATGGAAATACAATTATTAAATGATTTGGTGACCTTGGTAAAATATTCAATGAGTGGGGAATTTGAAATAAATCAAAGAATTACAATTACAAATTACAAAATTATCAAATATGGTGTTATCATTTGGTTAATCTTTTACTTTGATTAAGAAATTCCTTAAAAATCATGGGCTTTCAATTTATTTAACATATTTACCCCTTTTAACTTGGTTTGAAGAATCGAGGTTACAGCATTTAATTCACATTGATTTACTAATTTATTGTCACATACTATTTATTTGTAAGACAAATTAACTGGTTTCATGTAAAATCAAACTTTTGGTTAGCCTATAAATATTTATTACTACCAGTATATGATTTCACAACAAGGCTGAATGGTTTATGATTGATTCAAAAGTGTCAGAATTATTTTTTACCATTACATGTACCAACCATTGTTTTATCTAACAATTATATATAATTAATGTTGTTTTTATGTATTACTTATCATTTTAATGCTCAAACTAAAGAAAAATATAAAAAAATACATAGGTCCAAGTTGACTAGGGTCCGAGTTGACTAGGGTCCAAGTTGACTAGGGTCCGAGTTAACTAAGGTTCGAGTTGACTAGGAACCGATTAGTACCTAGTACCCTATCGAGAATAAACATCGATTCATTTATCAAACACTAGATGGCGCTGCGACGGGCCGGAAAAGGAGAGACGGTATTTTTATACAGGAAACCAAATAACCAACGGTAACCGCTAGTATCCCTACTCCGAACTATATTCTAATAGTGACATGGTTGAATGATTTTGTGCCAGAAAGTTTGTTTTTCTTAAACATTAGAGTGTTTCTAAACTTTTTGTGCAATTTAAGCCATATCGCACCAATAGAAAAGCTTTAATAGCTACTTTGTTAACCCCGGGGTCATTCATTTTAGGGCCATGAAACAAAAAATGGTCAAATTTGGTCATTTTCGATCAAAAATCACCCCAAACTATCCATCATTTAGTGATTAATTTTCAGTAAATGAGCTTCTAAATTTGAAAATAATACCAGTTTTGCATAGAAATGTTCTTGTTTTAATTACATATTAGTAGCTGTTTTCCGCCATATTTAGTCATTCTCTGGGGTTAAAGGTGTCAATTTTGTCATCTATTTTCAAGAAAAATTCAAACACAAAGGAAAAAGCTGTATTACATGTTATGATAATGACTAAATCCTTAAATTTCATAATCATTTCATGAAAGCCTGTCAACAACCTCTCAAAACCAGCACTAACAGCCCTCTTGGGCCATCCTGTAACAAAATACAGGCCAAAAATGGTCAAAACCTGTGATTTTTAGGTAAAAAAATGAAAAATGCTGAATCAGCGAAAATCTAAATGGCTAATTCTTCGGATTATTTGATATTTCTTAGAGATGCAAGGTACACATTGCAAAGAAAGTGAATTTTTTACAAAAATAACGCGATTTCCCACCCTAGTACTGTCACCACCCTGTTGCTAATAGGGTCAAGATTGCAGTTAAAAATCCCATTGAGGACCATTATAACGTTTCATGTCATAATATATTCATGGGCACAGATCTAGCTCAGCGAAACAGTGCCTAGTGTTCATTGGAGTCTTGTCTAGCTTGCCGTTATAAAATAATGATACGGTGACCACACCGTTTTTGAGATAACTGAATCTGGAGAGAGCTACCACGGTAAAGCTACCTGTTTCAGAAAATTATTCTGCTCTACATAGTCTCGAAAATCACTCCGCCATCTCTAAAAATTCTGTTTCTAACCAAACTTGTAAATATTTACTGATAGATTAGTACCTACCCTTTCGAGAATAAACATTTGATTCATTTATCAAACACTAGATGGCGCTGCGACGGGCCGGAAAAGGAGAGAAGGTATTTTTATACAGGAAACCAAATAACCAACAGTAACCGCTAGTATCCCTACTCCGAACTATATTCAAAGAACTTAGATTAGGTCTGCAAGTCCCTTAATTAACGTATTCTAAACGCCATCTGTGTATCCAATGGCACATCAAAAGCAAATGAAGTTTGGTTTACTTCAACAACAGAAATAAAAAAAGATGTCATTCGATGTTTACGTCGTACATGTTTTCACTCAAATGCCAATTTTAAATTATGGAATTTATATTGGTAATCAATTGCACTAAATCTTAAACGTTTCATATAGAGTGAAGTATAATGAAGTGTATAATGTATAATAAATTATAGAAAGTATTGTAAATAAATAAATATCATTTGAATTTTGATTGCAAATCCGAATTCTTAACATAATTCGAAAAAGAGACAATATATATATTTTGATTTTTTATCTGGAAACTAAGTTCCCGATGATCAACTTATTGTAAAGAACTTAGATTAGGTCTGTAAGTCCCTTAATTTAGCGTATTTTATTAAACGCCATCTATTCATGTATCCAATGGCACAACAAAAGCAAATGAAGTTTGGTTTACTTCAACGTCAGAAAATAAAAAGATGTCGTTCGATGTTTACGTCGTGAAAATTTATGAAAGAGAGGAAAGGATCCCTGGTGTACATTTTGCAAAAAGGATCTTCACGAAGATTAGAATTTATTCGCTAATGTGATACACGTTTATTTCCATTTGCAAGGAGCATCATTAAAAGCTTATAAAAGCAAAAGAAACTTTAGATGGCATGATGAGACCATGTACATGTATGTTCTATGAGGGTACTGAAGATGCGTTTTCGCAAGAGCAAATATATCATATTGGATTCAGGATAGTTTCAATATCGCGAATCTTACACTATGGACATATCATTTTATTTTCCAGAGAGACCCCGAGGACCGTCTGACAATGTTGCTACTTCCGGCCGGCCGTACATAAATTGTGTACCTCGTACTAAGGGGTTCCAATGAATTCCTTGACAACATTGCGGTGGCTCGGCATTTGACATTATTTCTATATGTTATCTTTCTTTTATAGCATGGACTTTTATAATTGGCGATATCAAGGGTTTCTTGCAAGATGATGGACAAATTAGATTTTTTCACAATTCTATATTTATTCGTTCATAATACTTGTATACTATAATTACCGAACTTGCTAACTTTTCAGCCAATTTTGAACTAATCGTTGGCCAACCAATTTAGCACTTGGTAATTTAGGAGCAAATCGTATTTTTCCATTTAGTTTCAAACCATCATTCATCACCTCGTTGATGGGTCTTGTTGGTTCAGGGTAAGGAGAGGCATCATTCTCTCTGTGAGGTCGAGGTGTAGTTGCCATTAAATTTTCACTTCTGTGACTTGATCCTCCGTGATGAGTACTCCGCCATAATAAAAAGTCCCTATCAGTTAGTGTATCCTTACTGTGCATGGAGCATGGCTTTACCGACGGCAGAAAATCTGATTTTTCTGGATGATAAGCGAGAAGGGGCAAACTGTTTGCCCCGTGTAACTGTTTTGTATTGGCTTTGCCTCTATATGCAAAATCTGCATCACTAGTGCCATCTTTAGAAGAACTGAAATAAAAAGAATCATTATAAAACCCAACCGGGAATAAATCATTTCCTAACCCCCCTATCACACCAAACTAGTTCTTCCCCGTTCTTGCCAGTCCTACGAAAACGTCGTAAAACGGGCTCAATCTGGCTGTCGTCGGGAAATAAAAGTATGTCTAAAATAATTAGCTACTTCGTTCATAAACAGTCTTCAATACGTCCATCTCATTCGCAGTGCGTTCAGGTCGCACCAGGTCGGTGTGCAACGTCGTATAACGCGTCCCTTAGTCTAGAAGGTCATCATGACCTGATTACAGAACGGTATGATCGCCATCGAATTTTGAATCGATTCAAAATTCTAAATCACATTCCCCGTCCGGGAAAGTCCATGAAGTTCGTAAACAGACCGTAGACCGTTGTAGCTACGTTCATTCAGTTCGCTCACAGTTTAAAACCGATTCGGCAACGTTTTGACGATCACCAGAAATTATTTAGCATGGTCTAAGGTGTGGAGGACCTTCTCGTTCTAGTAGTTTCATGAGGTTTATAAACAGATCCCAAACGGTTCTTAGTTGGTTCTTAGTACGTCAAATCCGTTCGTGCACAGTTTAAGCCAGTTTTCGAGAACGTAGTGAGAACTAGTTTGGTGTGAACCCTACTATCACACCAAACTAGTTCTCACTACGTTCTCGATAACGGGCTTAACGGGTTGGGACAACAGTCTTCTAGGCGAATAATTTTTTTATTAAAAATATAGAAATAACACCCAAACTAAATTATGAATATATTCAAAAGAGCACATTTAAATCTACAATATGTAATATCAAAATTGTCCGAAGCAGGCGTAACGTGCAGTAGACCGATTCAATGAAAGACACGTCTCGTTTTGGAGAACGAGGTTCATCAGTGTACTGCGCTAATAATTTTTTATGAAAAATATGGAATTGACACCCAATTTATAAATTATGGATATTCAAAAGAGAACATTTAAATCTACAATATGTAAAAATATCACAATTGTCCTGACACCCAATTTATAAATTATGGATATTCAAAAGAGAACATTTAAATCTACAATATGTAAAAATATCACAATTGTCCGAAGCAGGCGTAACGTGCAGTAGATTGATGAACTTCGTTCTCCAATCCGAGGCTAGTCTTTTCATGAACGTACTCAAAGGGTATGCCCTCCAGAACTTCAGAACAAGTCGCAATCAGAACGAGTGACAAAACAGCGTAATGTTAAGACGAGATGGATGTACTACGAACGGACCTGTCGTACCTCAATTCTACTATGAAAAATTTTGAGAACTAGTTGAACTGTCTAGAAATTGGGTGAATAATTCAGCAATAATATATTGGGACGTAATGAGAACAAGGTGATATCACAAGAACAGTCAGTTGTTGGCCTCAAGCACAGAGAACTTGATATCAGATGAGCTATCGGATAGGTAGCCTAAGGCCGAACTGTCTATGTTAACAAACTAATGTTATTGTCAGGAGAATATACATGTTGGGCCAAAAAAACAATACATAAATTCAAAGATAATTGATTCATATGAACATCTTTAAACCATACCATGTATTATATATATCATTTTAAAGATAAATCATTTCCTAACAGTATGACACCACCTGAATGAAAAACTTTGTTTTCTTGTAGACGCTAAAATTGACACCAGGGGTGTCATGAATTTCCCTTTATGGTATGAGGTTCCATATCCATCCGCCAAAAGGTATATAGTCCATTTAAAAACCTGTGGTTTTGTTCTAAATAACGCCATAGTTGGCTTCTAGTGTACCTAGTATGTCACTATTTGGTATCAAAATAAAGAGGAGGAGTTCAACTTTCATTTGAATTACGATAATAGCGATGTATGTCAAAATAGTTCCGACGTGAGCATGTTTACTACGCGCCCGTCATCTCAGAATTGAGGAAATGGTAGCAAACGCGAGTTACAATAAATGGACGCTGATATCTCAAAAAGTAACCTGACTCCCTATAATTTAATGTAGATAAATCGAACCCCTATACGAACAGGTACATTTTGATATATGACACTATGGGGGTAGGCGTTTTATAGTTGATCACGAACGCCATATGTGCCGTATTGTTCTGAATTTTCGAATTTGGTGTTCGATTACGGTACTCATATACCTTATACTGCAGTCACAGCTGGACATAATATGCTTGACTGAATCATTATAAATTCATTTAAAAGCAATACACAATTGACATTTAATTAAAAATGTGTAAGTGAAAATTGTAGGTGAATTTTGCACTAAACTTGTATAAATGTACCTCTTTTGAAGAAGCCAAAGTTCAAATGTCCCTCCATTTTCCATAATTTGGAAATCCGCAGTGAATATTTTATTGGTTGCTCATGACACTCTATCTGGTATCAATTTTAGCGTTTTAACTCCACAAGAAAACAACGGGTTTTCAATCGGATGGTGTCATTTTATTAGGAAATGTTATATCTTTAAAAAGGTATTTAATATATGGCATGATTTGACATACAGTATATCAATCTACATTCATCTTTAAACTTGGGCATTGGATTTTTGAGCCACCCTATATATAATCTAGGATGGAGAAATAATATGTCAATGATTAATCGAATGAGAACTCGTGCAATTTTGGATTCAAAGACCAAATATTTGCATGATTGATCATTGTGGACTTTAACTGTGAGCTTTCGTTTATTAGTTACTGTGACATCTATTTGGAAGAATAAATTGTTGCTAATAGCTTTTGAAATGAATAAAGGAATACATTGTACCATATTCGGGCTCTCTATTTTTAATCAACGTTTCTTTTATACATTTTCAGTAAATAGCCCAGTCCCAACCTCAATCAGCAATTCAGTTTCATGTATACCTATAAATATTTCGCTAATTAGCAATCATGCATGCTTTCCCTCTTAGCAATATCTTGTACAAAAATAGGATTCTTTGTTATGGTTTTAACTGCTGTTCTTAAATAGTCGATCCAAATTGATTCGATCCTTAAATCATAAAACGATTATCTTCTACGATCGACCAACTATGTTCCATTAAATCCAGAATTTATGTGTTATGAACGGTATGCTGGGTTCTGTGATTTTGTCTGGTGTCGAAACACCCTGTCGATTTTTAAAGCAGCTAAAGTTCTTAATTTACAAACAAACAAAATACGAAACGCACATGCAAGTTTAAAATAAGATACGACATATATTCACTGAATGGAGGGACCTAAAATTGCAGGAGAGATTTTCCATTTTGAAAATTCCTTCTCCCATTAAAAAAAAGAAAATTGGGCCCTTATTTTGAAAACAAAACCCAAAATAAAAGAACCTTGGTTCCCCCAACCCAGATCCGCCGGTGGAATAAAACTGATATCGATATATACATATGTACACATCGTACATCATGGATATAATTGCAATTCGGGCCAAATTCAATAAACATAAAACTACCAAATAACCAACTGTTTATATATACATATCAATTTGTGTTTACCATTGTTTAGAATTATTAAATTATAACAATGAATAATAGTTCACGCCACTTAATTCATTAAATCCATGGAGTTAGCAATACGAATTACGCAAAGCGATTGATCTTCGATTGTGATGTAAGATTCTTAATTGTATTTACATAATCGGTATAATGTCGTAAAGTGCAACTTCGTCCTGACATTTTGTACTTCTTAGGCCTAGTACTATATTGGCGACGAGTAGGGCTATCGGTCGTATGCTGAACTGTTGTGGGTTCGATTCCCTCACTGGGGTGGACAGACACTTAATCTGAGTCAGTAAGAATACGATAAAAGTTGACCCTTTCTTTTCAAGCAACAATATTGAATTGGACAATGAAGCGATGGTGCGATCACAGCCCCCCCCCCCCCCCTCCAATCGATGTCCATATAACCATTAGATAGATGAATTCGAAGAATATGGCTTTATAACGCTTTTTATTTGAAGCTTCTAGCTCAATTTTGAAGGAAGTTACATTAATTTTTGTAAAATTCAAAACAAATCTTAATCTTTTTGGGGTTGCTTACGCCACGATCACACCCCCTGAGAACCGCCCCTACCCCCTGTAACACTTGCAAAGGTGGATCTTAAGCAAAGGTCCATAGTGTGTTGATGCATTATAGTAACTAGGAAGTATTTATAACTTTATACACCTTTCCTGAAGGTCTTATAGCTAGCTATAAATTGTTGTCCCTACATGCAGTTATACAAAAGTTTAGACGAGGTTGAGACAATTATCCCTGGGGATAACATTTTCTTGAATAACATATTCCGATATTTAATGTACATTATAATGTGACCTAATTCGACTAATTATTCAGACACAGTTGGGTCCAATTATTAATACAAATAAGGACTTGGCCGGGATAATACTTTTAATTCAACTTATCCCCGGGATAATACTTATTATCCCTTAGGATAATATTCTCTTTTACACCGATATACGAGAACATGTTATGAGATTCAACATCATTATAACATTTGCATAGCCAAGGAAACAACGCCGTGAACACATATCCAAAAGCCATAGCATTGATAAAACCAATATCAAATAATTTTCACCAATGAAACATAAGAAATTGGCATGTCTCAAGAAGTCGAAACGTGACGTGTAATAGTTTCTCAAGAAACCATGATGTAAATCCAAACGTCAAAGAATTCTGTGACATATTGCTAGTTCTATTTTTGTTATCCTCGTGTGTTGTATGTGCTAGATAAAACAAAGTTGAATGAAAATATCGTCCCTTCACAAAGGCCATCCGAAAAAATGATGATACTAATAAGCAAATTTCGATTTTTAACAATCAAAGGTGCATGTACTTTACAATATCATTACTAACCATAATATCGGAGATTTTTGGATCACTGTTCAGATTTTTAGTGCCAATTGTAACATAAAGCTAGGGCGCAGTGGCTAGGGATATATTGTATATATTATATTGTAGTCAATGTACAAATTGTATTATATTGTAGTCAGCTGCTGCGATTGTAACTGCCCATGGTATAACAACATAATCCTATGTTTTCAAGATTAAATCCATTTTCGTAATAAATCTTTGGACAATCTTGTTTTGAAGCTTGAAAGTCATTAAAATTGAGAAGTTAAAATTTCTGCATTCAAATAGAGACCATACCTAGAATGCCAACTATGAAGAAATATGTAGTAATCAATAAAAGATAATAATCATAATTATCAATATGTGAAATTTATGTATGATGCTTTGGTGCAATTTATTGGGAGCGTCTCTTATCATATAAACACGCATCGGTCATTTTTCTTAGTTTCAAAAAGAATCGTGGGATCATTCTTTTCAAAAAGTCAACAAAGCAATATCAACAACAAATGATTATCATGGACAGACAAAGTAACCCACCCTTTATTCGCCTTCATCAATCTGTTGTTGGATCGTCGTTTTGGGAAATATTTCGAATGTATACTAGGTCCATTGTCGAAATCTGCGAAATCTTCAGTAGAAGCTTTTGGAATTGAAATCTCATCCTCTTCGCCCTTTACTTTTTTATGTTTTGAATTTTTGTATAGGCCGTAATCAAAGTTGTAACAGTTTAGACTTTTCATTGCACTTGATGCTGGGAGAAATTTATCCATTTGCGATTCAGCATTTTTAGGATTGTCATCCCATTTTAACACCTTGTCAATATAGGGCTGAGTTACAACTGACAATGCGTCAAACATTGGTAGGGATACAGTTTCTCCACTGGAGCTGCCAGTATGTTTGCGTTTCTCGTTGTCATGAATTCCTTTCATTTTACCTAGTTTAGAGTTACTATGATTGTATTCAGGTGATTCAAATGATGGTTCAATGCGTTCCGTCTCATTATCCGATTTTAGCTTGTACCTCTTTCTGTTTGGTCTCCTTCTTGGAAGTGGAACGTTGTGCCCATACGCGTTTGAAGTGTCGGTATCACTTGAACGTTCATAAGCTTGTGAACCTCTAGTCCGATGTTGTTGATTATGCGGAAACATGTCTCCGGTGCTGCCCCTGCCTCTCGATGGAGCAGGGGAGATAAGATTCATGTCTGATAGCATTGCTGAACTAATAACGATATCCTGTTGATGATGTTTAGCGTCCGTTGCTAATTTATTTCTCACATTATATGACATGCTAGTTTTGATTCTTTAATTTTGTTCTGTAACAACTCAACTATTTTCAATGTCATAAAGTATAGTTGTATGTATCCTCTTACATGTACGTTTTGTAGTATCGTAGAGGCGACTGTATTAAATTACGTTTACTCGCTGCAGGCCTTAGTATTCTTAACAAAAAGCTTGAACATTTTGTTTACCTCTCATAAACAAATTTTGCAACAGCTAGATCTCACATTTCTGCACCAAATAAACATATCATCATACGTAAGTCCTATATATAGATATATCATCAAAGATGCCTTACTTTTCATCGACTTTTAATCACCTGCATTGTTTTAATTTGCCATTTGATCCCAGGAGCTGAAGTGCGTGGACAATGGCATCCTTGAGTTGTTTACTCGACTGACGGTGCAGTTAACAAATGATCGGGAGTCGAACATTTATCAATGCGATGAAACTTCTCCTAATTGTTTTATTTCGATTATCTGGTTATCCATTTCCTCGTATATATCAATTTTCTTCACCTCCAACTTGAATTATAACCCCTCTGGTGTTTTACTCAGGTTGGCGGTTTGTTTGAAAGCTTTAATAAACCACCACCTCAACGTTTATAAGTAATTAAGGTTAAAGGTTATGCGATTCCTGTGTTTGACCTATTGGCATATGTTCTGCATGTACTGACACTGGATTTTTCTTTGGTGTTGCCAATCAAGAATAACAGATCAGTACTATTTAGCATGTCTTTAATCTGTAAAAATAGCACTGCATTTATGAGATTCAAAGTGTTTTTGAACAGCTTAAGAAATGTTGAGTTGGTCAATACCGCTAGGGCATTTAATCGTTCAAAACATTGTCAATTCCCTATTGTATACTCTTTTCAAGTTAGGCATTTCTCTCTCATTACGCTAAACTCCAACAACAATCAAACTAATCAATACCGATATCAATAAAAGGTTTCAGAGTGGATTTATGTTTTCATAATATTATTAAATTCTAAACGTTGTTGATATTTCCTCTTTATTTTAACAAAGAAGTATTCCAATTTCATGTTGTTATTCAGTGATATGTTCTGCTTATACCCTTTCTTCTACGTCATATTTCCACTGCACGTATTAGCCCCGAATGCTACTTCCCGAAGTGTGCGCATATCCCGATAAATAAAGGTAATTTAATTGGGGAGATGGAATATGAATTTTATTTCGAGGGAAATATGATATTGACCAAGGAAAATATCATATTGACCGAGGGCGACAGCCGCTAGTCAATGTCCTATTCTCTCGAGGAAAAATTCATATTTCATCACGACCATCAATAACCTATTTATTCCATAATATTTTTCTGAAACTTGCTTTGTCTGTCGTCACCCAATGAATCTAATTTATCGAATGACATTTTCAACTTTTGAAAATAGAAATGATTTATAATACTAATATTGATTTATATATAGGTTATTTACTGGGAGGGATTGAATAATGGTTTTATTCCGAGGGACAATATGATATTTGCCGAAGGGTAATATGATATTGACCGAGGGAGCGCAGCGACCGAGTGTCAATATGATATTGCCCAAGATCAACATCGTATTTCCGGGGAATAAAACCCATATTCAATAACGACCAGAAATAACCTATTTATTCAATAATTAATATGTAAGGTTAAAATAACCGGGAAACCAAAAATAGGTTAATACGCTCCAATACGATTTTCCCGGGGACAATACGATTTTTCATGTAATACGCTCCAATACGATTGTTCACGGGGACAATACGATTTTTTCATGTAATACGATTCAATGCGATCTTTATTCCTTCATATTTCCAAGAGAAAACAGTAGTATTATGGAATAAACCATAATAACACAATATTAGTCTCATGAAATTTTCTGATAGTTCTGATACGGGATCTGAATCTGATACGAGATTTTGACTGATACGGGATCTGATACGGAATTTTTTGAATACCAATTTTATTCCCTGTTATTTTCGTGGGGAAAACATGTTGTTATGGAATAATGGTGATTATTTATAACAAATACAAAGAGGATATATTTCTGCTATGCTTTATTTACACCATTATACGTTTTAATCCCACTGTTACTGCTCTTTTCAAACTAGTTACGTCGAAACTTCGAAGGTACGATTTTTCTTTTTCATCATTTCACGAGTTGTAGGCAAGATCTCCTTGACAATTTTATCACAAACGTTTCAGTATCATGCGTTGAAGAAAATCTACACGTTTGCAAACAAATAGTTCAAAAGACGACAGAATTATGATTATGTCATCATTTATTGCGTAGCTCTATACGTCTTTACGTATTTCGTACTATATCGGTGATCTATGAATATTAATCATCAATTGCAGAAAATATGAAGGTAATTATAGATTACACTATATTCAGAATAATTTCTTGAAGATCCGAATTTCTTTATTACATTATCGCAATCGATTCCGGTTCATCATACTTTTGAGTACTTTTTATGCTTTTGTTTATGGAAGTTTTTCGCTTATCCAAGCAAATATAGTTAATTATATCTTGAACAATTTGGAAATATGTCATAAACCTATAATGGTTTGTGATATGGTCTTCTAATAAAATAGTATGGTAACCATAGAAATGCCAGAAACGAACGTGTTAACCTTTACAAACATGAGCATTCACTGTCAAAGAATCATTACTTATTGACTCGCACAATTGGAATCAATTAAACCAATATACTCTGCGTCTAGAGATATCTATCTTGGTAAATACTAATCCCGACAAAGGGAAATTGGTTCTAACGTGTTTTTTACCAACCGTATTGTGTTTAACAATGAGGTACGTGGGGTATCCTTGCAGAATTAAAATGCATATTCAATGGTCGATGAAATGTCTGAATATATTGATAACTCAGGTACATTGATTTAAGCATCCAAAAACATTCATACGTGACATGTTTGTGAAATTTGTGTTTTCACATAAATGTCCAAGGAAATTCCTACTTAATAAAACTGCCTTTATAGAAGCTTCACTAAACGTAAAATCCACAAAACTATCTCTAACTACATATATAATCCATTTTGGGCAATTATCGTCGACTTGTCTCTCAATGGTACATCTTTTAAGTCGAATGGTTTTAGTGTTTATACAACCTTTCAATCTTTCTCATGCCATCGAAATTAATTAACAAATGGGTAACAAATTCCAATGAATTGTTCTTTTGAGTTGTTACAATTACCGGGTCGATTAATGCAATGGTAACACAGTTTTTTTTGTCTGCAGGGCAATTGTATAAATCTGAGGTATTTTACTGTTGTAAAAGGTGCTTCATTTTGGTTCAATTTTGGAAGATAACCTTTCCAACCCTACTGTCACACCAAACTAGTTCTCACTACGTTCTCGAAAACGGCCTTAAACTGTGCACGAACGGATTTGACGTACTAAGAACCCACTAAGAACCGTTTGGGATCTCTTTACAAACTTCATGAATCTACTCGAACGAGTATAAGGTCCTCCAGAACTTAGAGCATGCTCAGAATTTTCTGGTGATCGTCACGTTCTGCAATCAGAACGAGTGACAACGTACTTAAGACGACCTGGACGCACTGGGCACACACTAAGAACGGAAGTGCCGTACTTCAATCCTACTAGGGACGTATTACGACGTTGTGTAGTCAGGCGAAAATTGCAGCCGTGAGTACACCAATCTAGTCTGTTTGTAGCTCGTTCATTCTGTTTGTAGACAGACCCAACTCGTCCGAATAACGTCCTTCCCGTTTATAAAGATTCACAGTAGGTTCTCATAAAGTTCTTAGATAATTCAGTAGGACGTATTGAGAACAAGGTACAACTAATTGTCAACTGGTTTAAACTGATTAAGGACGTAATTGAACTGCTTGGATACGTTGTGTAGACGAGACGAACGCACAATTTAACCCTATCTAAACTTGATACCAACGTACTGCAGACGAGATGAACGTATTAAAAACTGCTCATGAACGAATTAACAAAAACAGCTATCACACCAGAACCAGTTGTCACTGCGTTCGTCAAAACGTTGTCGAATCGGTTTTAAACTGTGTGCGAACTGAATGAACGTAGCTACAACGTTCTACGGTCTGTTTACGAACTTCATGGAATTTCCTCGGACAGGGAATGTGATTTAGAATTTTGATTCGATTCAATATTCGATGGCGACCATACCTTTCTGTAATTAGGTCATGATGACCTTCTAGACTAAGGGACGCGTTATACGACGTTCGACGTGGTGCGACCTGAACGAACTGCGAATGAGATGGACGTATTGAAGACTGTTTATGAACGAAGTAGCTAATTATTTTAGACATATTTCCCGACCACAGCCAGATTGAGCCCGTTTTACGACGTTTTCGTAGGACTGGCAAGAAAGGGTAAGAACTAGTTTTGTGTGATAGGGGGGTAACTAAAATTTAACTCGTTTTAATGTCATTCAAGATACTTAATATAGTTTTCAATCGTCGTTTCTGATCGAAATGAACTCATTCATCGAGGAGCCTTCTGAAGCTTTAACCCATAGCAGTTACTATTTGGTCAGACGATTCTTATAATATACTTTTCAAACTGAACATTCTACAATTTTAAAAGTGTGACTCGTAGAATAACTAATATTTTCCATTACCTTGGTATATCTCTAAGGAGTAACGACAATAATAGTACAATAACGTCATTTCTAAGGGCAATATAGTGAAATATTGGACCGAGGGCCGGGCCGAAGGCCCAAGGTCCAATATTTCACTATATTGCTCGCAAAAATGACGTTATTAGTATTATTACCACCGTTAACGACCAGGACTGAAACAGCGAGAAAATCTTACGCATTGAACGATATCTAATTTCCCGGGGAAAATTGCCGGTCCAGAATATATTCTAGACCCAAGGAGGATTGGAAGCCAGGGTTCCAACTCGATATTCTTTAATCTCCACGCATGCGTCATTTGCTATTCGTGTCTGTATAATTTGTACGACTGCATGGAGAATGACCCGATACTCTCCAACAAAGCTATCGCTAGGTGATTGTTTTGCAGAATATCGGTGTTGCATTCTGGGAGCCAATCCTCCTTGTTCTAGACCGGTCCATATGAACCACCACTATGACGTCACACATTTCTCAGGTCGATATAGTAAAATGAACGCCTTCTAAACTAGTATTACCACCTTGCCGGGCCAGTTCTATGGGTTTTAGTGCTAGTTTAGAAGGTATTCATTTTACTATATCGACCTGAGCAATAAGTGACGTCATAGTGGCGGTCAATATAGCATTCCAGACCGGTCGAGAATGCATTTAACGACCGGCAATTTTCCCCGGGAAATTATATATCGTTCAGTGCGTAAGATTTTCTTGCTGTTTCAGTCCTGGTCATTAACGGTGGTAATATACTAATAATATCGTCATTTCTGAGGGCAATGTAGTGAAATATTGGGTCCAATATTTCACTATATTGCCCTTCGAAATGACGTTATTGTACTATTATATCAAACACTGAAATAACTACAACATATAGGGAGGGAATGTGTGGCTTTATTTTTCTAGACACTGCAAAACTCAAAATGTGTATTTGAAAATAATTAAGAAGAGTCTGTAATTCTTCTCCATTTCCTCACAGCATGTGCTTTCTGTAAGATTGTTCTTCTCGTGGAAGGTGTTCCCCATGAAGATGTCTTGTCTGTATTCCAGCATTCCCCCGAGTCACCCTCATCACGGTAGTCTGCTTCCGTGTGAATTTCCATCTTCTGAACTATCAGCCGTAAAAGTTCGTATTGTTTTTCCAATGTCGACGTGACATCTTTTAAACTGAAAACATGAAATAATTGTACTTCTTTGCACCTTGAGAACGAATATATAAAGTTGTACATTGAAATCCTCTTCCTAATCATTCTCATCATGCATCGTATCGAATTGTTGCGCGTAGCAAATATATATAATATAAAAATATAACCCATTAGTTGTGGTGAAATCTTCTTGAATTTACTGGAGAATGTGTAGTTATCAATCCATAAACCAATGACATGCAAAGCATTAACAATTTGTTTAGATTATTGATGCATGTGAATCATTTAAAATTATATAATAGTTCCGAATATTGTTTTGGTGTATTTTATATTTATATACCCACCGTCGTTTGTGTTTATATAGCTCTTGGTATACATATGTCTGGTGAGCAGCTTGACCACCCATGGCGTTATCATCCCCGAGACTACCATTCTGGGCATGTATCAACTTATAGGATAACTGGAACACGTATGGCATACAACAAATATGAATATGTTCAGGTACCTGTATTGCACTACTGTAGTACGAGGGGTGATCCAAAAGTTGCTATTTTCTAATATAATTGCACGAAACTTTCAGATAATAAAGATCAACATCTTAACAACTTTGTGTATAAGTTTCAACAGAAAATGATATATTTTAGCTTTTTGGTAGAGACTTTTTAACACTGGGTCCTTGCCACCCGGAACGGTATTTAAATATAGCAAATCACGTCACAACTGTTATAATATGGCAAATACTTTAGGTGCGGCTGCACAACCTAACACCAGTCATTATATGAGAGAATTTCTGATTTCCAATCTGAGTGTCATCTGCCATCATCATCTTCATATATCAAGACCTACTTTTCAACATATTTTCCACGAATTTGAACCCATCTTTCAAACCGCTTTACCAATGAATGGAAGACATTTATGAAACCGCCATTCCTTATGCAGTTATGTGCTACAAATGCTGTTGGAGTGCCAATCTAAACCTCATCCAATGAGCAAAAAACATTTTCTTTCAATCCTCCTTCCAACTTCGAGAAAAGGAAGAAAATCACACGGAGCCATATCTAGACTGTACTGTGCATATGGTAGCTGCTAAAGGTCAATAATAGTGAAAATATCTTGTAGTATTCTTTGTTCCACTTTGATTTCTTTCATGTTCTGCATTTCAGCAGCCATTTTGGAGCAAAAAATGATACCAGAATGAGGGTTGCTTGTCTGATGTCATTTTCTTAGAATTTGACATATATGATCATTGTCATATGTGACATTATAATTAAAACACAATTAATTGGTTGCCTAGTAAGAAAGGAAGTAAACTAGCATGGTTTAACATTCAAAATTCAAAGAAAGACAGTGGTCAAGACTTGCGAAAGTTGTCACGTGTGAATACCGTTCCGGGTGGCAGGGTCCCCATGTCAAAAACTGTCTAGAAAACTACATAAAACATATCATTTCTCCATGAAATTAATACACAAAGAAGTTAGGTTGTTGGTCTTTATTATTGGAAAGTTTAAAGTAATTTTATCAAAAACCAACAAAATTAGAGCAGGGCGTCCAAGACTTTTGGATCACCCCTTGTATATGATCGAATCACATCAATACGATGTGGTTTATTTTAAGAAATATATTAAAGGTTGAACTCAATGATCACATTCACTCACCCATGTAAATATGTATTTATTACAATTGGGGTATACTTTCATCTCGTTCTTTTCTACATGTTTAAGGATTCGTTTGGGAAGTTTCTTCTCCATGTCAGTGTGTAGTTCCACCTGTATAATATGAAAATATAAACCGGATGAAATAATGATGATACTATGAAGTTCAATTCGATTAAATCGAAATAATTGAACTACCTGTATCACTTACATTTTTGATAATATTTGGTATCATCTTACTAAGTTACCAATAATGAACATTCCACTATAACAAGGCATAGTATTTAGAGGATAGAGCTATATCCACAAACATCACGACACTACAGAACGGCTATAATTCAACAGTCTTATTTAGGTCAACGTGTGATAGAATACAAGGATGGATTCACACTAATTGCAAATTGACCAATTTACGTTTTATGACGAATAAATGTTTCGCTTGCCCTCGAAACGTCAATGTACGTGTACCTGTTTAGCAAGTCGTTTTAGTCGTGCATTTCTCTGGACCTGTTCTATATCTCCTACTGCCAAACCTATCTACAATACAATTAAAATTCATATTATAAGTCTGACTTTTTGTTGTCACCACTTCAAAGGCACTTATTGGCTATGTATTTTTGGATGACTTTGTCCAGCGGGAGACGTTATGAGACACACTTTTATATACAGGGTGTCCCGAAAGTATGCCCCCCCCCCCTAGGCAGACATATTCCAGTGTCCTCATAGTATGTGTCATATATCATTTTAAAGCTTATCCAAAGTTACATTGATTCGCCAAGTATCATGGTTTAACTCCCAAATGGGAAAAAGTTAGTCATTTTAAAAGTTAGTGTTTTACCAAAATAAAGTTAAATTTTACACCACATTACAAGTCAATGACTCGAGTCCCCCCTTGGCCATGTTAACCGCAGCAATTAATTTCAGATATGACCTTAAAAGCCCTTCAAATAGGGGTGTGGACTTTTATAACCCTCTTAAAACCTGTTAAGGCACTTTAGAAAAGATTCCTTGGAGTTTCTACCCTCACCGTTCTCTTTTTCCAACTCAATATCCATCCGACCCGAACTCTACTTGGCATAGGATAAAATATGATATTTCCCGAGGGAAAATCATATTGTCACGAATAAACCCATATGCAATGCCAACCAGTAAATAAGCTTTTTATCCCATGCTATTCACGACTCTTCATTAAATCATTAGTTCAAAATCCATATCTGATTTCTGTATGAAACAAAACCAGACTTTATATTTAGTCTACAAAATATGACAGGGCATTCGCATAATCTCAGATTTTTATGACATTGACTGTCCGTGCCGGAGCATGATGCTAGGCTTATACAATTTTCATATTCTTTACGTTTCAAAATCTTTTCAATTTTGTTTGGAAGATATCGTTTCTCACATAAAAACCTCATTATAGCCTGCTATATCTACCCTACTGAACGTAATAGGAAGCTTTGATTCGCAAAAATTCGCAGGAGGTGAATACCATTTTCGTGAGCGGGATTGCGCGGGACAATAAAATTTGATTTCAATATCAAAAATATTCCCGAGTGTTATCCATCGGGAGAACTAGTACTATCATGGGATACTGGCGTTAATATACACATGCTAAAAACCTCCAGACCTGAACCAATAGTTACCCTGCAATATTTAGTACAAAATGAGAATACCCACCAGTAAGTTCATTAAGAGGATAGGCATCAATAGCACAAATACAACCAAGAGAGCAAACGTTAAGCCTCCAAAATGTAGAGTCATGTCATCGCCATCTGTGTATGGTTGGACAAACTGAGAGATGTAGTCAATCTCACCAAGCATCATAATTGTTGTCTTCATTAGAGAGAGGCCTGGGTTCTTAAACGCATGGGTAGCCTGTGGAAAATGGAGAAAATCAGTTGATTTCGAGTGATATCAATGTTGATAGTTGATATCTACTAGTTAATAAGATGATAAAAGTTTTTGTAACATATTACTCAATTTACTATTTATAATAATATATTCTTATGCATTATAGCATATAATTGATGATAATTTATCATGGGAAGATCATATCAAACAAGTTTCTCTTCAGATCTCCCAAATACTAGGTATATTATTTAAGGTACATAACAAGTTAAACTTTGAATCTTTAAGATCAATTTATTATTCACTTATATATAGTCACTTGAATTATTGCATTCTTATATGGGGAACTGCAATTAAAAGAAAAGAAAGAGATATTAATAGCAGGGATAAATTTAGTTTATTTAAGAAAATTTAAGATTCAGCAAGAAGTAGTATAGTATAGTGAACAAGCCATTATTTCATAACAAACTATTGTAATTAAATGCTTTATACTCGTATATCCAAAAGGATATCAAGCTGTTAGAATATTGTATCAAATTATGTAATGTTACTGCTGAATCAAAAAATATATATATAGTGGGGTTGTACATTCGACGGGTTTGAACTGACACACATTAAAGCACGATGGTCATATTCTCTTTGTCTGTCTTACCTCTCCTGATAGAAGTATGTAGAATGCCATCGCGAATGCAATAATAAGTATAGAAAATACTATGAGCACTTGGAGCAAGGTCTTCAATATCTCCAAGAACATAACAACGTAGATTCCAAAAAAGTCGAACCTGGAATGAAAATTAAATCATAGGATTTAAGAATATATTAGAGAATACTTTACATTGATCATACTTATTCCAAAGGACAGGGATATATTTTGACCGCTTAGATACTATGAGGTTATATAATGGTTCTTTCTGTATATCGTTTTTATACTCGAGTGAGTATATGATATATTCACAAGTGAGCGTAGCGAACGAGTGAATATATTATATTCTCACGAGAGTATAAAATGCACGATATGCAGAATGAACCATTATATAATCTTATTATGCCACTCTAAGTTCTAGTTGATTCGAACACAATCATAACAATTAAAAACCATAAAAATATCCCATAGCCAACTCAATAATGCTGATGTTGATCTCGAACCATTTATGACGTCATCTAATTCTATGAAATCATGAAAATTTTCATGATTTTTCTATTCATTAGTTCCCAGAATGCACTTCTACAGTGGTATACGCTGGAGTGTATACGGAGGAGTTGTATACGATGACGATATACCACTCTCCACTGTATATCGTTGTTATAGACCCATGTTATACAACTGTAATTGGACTTAAAGTGGTATAATATATGTTGTGTAACTGCTTAATATAAATATGATATATTGTGTTACATATTTAATACAAAATGCACATACCTTTGCAGGAAAAGTAAGAAGTTGAACCAAGCAAGAAAGATTGCGATTGCTCCACATTCCCACTGCCAGTGTGTAGAAAAGCCAAGTAGAGAGGGCACAACAAAAACTGCTGATGTTGTATACAATATCCATTCTATGTAGTTAGTCACATCTATGAAATATTTGAAGCCCTGTAATATGAACACCATCATTATATACTGAACATCAGTACTACTTAATTATAGGATATCCTATGATTTTGAGGAATATCATTTTTATCTACGAGGTGATATTGATATCTGCACGAGAGAGCAAAGCGACGAGTGCATACATCAATATCACTGAGTAGATTAAAATGATATTCTGAAACAAATCATAGGATGTTATTATTATCCTACACCTACAAGGAGTGTACTAAATGTATAATATCATTGCAAAATGAATCTCATGCCAAATAGAGTCAATTTGGCGGGAAATCAACAAGCGGAGTATATCGCCCCGATATCCTCCGCCCGAAGTATATCGTTACGATATTCTCCGGTTATTCATCTTGCCAATAAATATCAAATTTATTTTTTAATGTTATTTTACATTTAGTACATTAAGTGTAGGATAATATATTGTATTATCTTGTGTTATTTTAAAGAGGCGTGTCTGATAGGAACACTATAGAGTACCCGATATTTTGCAATAGGAGATGCAAACCAAGTTCATCCATCTACTTGACAACTGCCAAATACCGTTTCCTACGAATGTACGCAGAAATGAATTATTAACTAGACGTTTGAAAATTCGAAAAGAAATTAAAAACCCGCTCTGAATCAGTGAATGGCTGCTTGGATTCAAGTCACGTGACGACGCGCATGTCATGTGGCGGGAATTCACTTCAACGCCGGACAACTCAAATAATGTCAATTTCTCATTAACAATACATTCATGAGTAACTTCATATGGCACAATTGTAACCTATGCACTAACCTGCTGGAACATCTGAAAGAATTCTTTGATTATATTGGCCAGACAGAATGCTGCTAATATCGATGCAGGCACTAGCTGTGATACGGAATACTGCAAAAGATTCAATTCAAATAAAGTTTTTTATAAGATACACAATAGTTGGTTGAATATAGTTTGTATAGTATGTGTATAGTATAGTATGTCATTACTAATTTGAACGGTAGATTAGTTATTCTCTCAGATGAGCTGTGATTCACGCCTACCCCATGTCTTCAGAACTGATGGATATCAGCGAATGCAACTGATACGAACGAATGCGACCAATACAATTGATGATTACCATAAAAATCTAAAGCATAGCTTCTAACTCAATCCACATAATTAAATTGGACCTAGACTAACTTCGTGCTTCTCCCAAACATTCGTAGGTACTTCAGTCCCATTGATGCGTTTATATTCATCCTTGTGCCCCATTGGATCATTCGATGATACAATGAAATTCGTGAGGCACCCAAGGAATATAATGTAGAGAATTATGTTCATCATGTGGATTACACAACCATAGGACTGCCTGAAATAATGGAAAGTTTACTGTTCACTGACAAATAATCTACGCCTCGTGTGATCATAATCTACTTTTATTGTCCACCAGTGTAAAGAAAGGGGCAGCCTGTAGCAAAAGGTGTTTTGGAACACCAAAATTAGATACATTTCAATCCAGATCTATTGGTGTATGATCAGCCTCTTGTTGATGATTTTATAAAGCCTAAAACCAAAATCAAACTTAATATTAAAATAAAATGAAGATCTTGTTTGAATATTACTTACCACTTCATCTGAAGGAACTGCACACTGACAGGGTGTGACAAGCATTCTATTCTGTTGAATCGCACCATCATCTTTATTTTGGGATAGCAATTAAAAAGCAATAAGTAAAACCTCCGCCAATTATTTAAATCATATTAAAAATATTTCAATATACCAACTAGATAATTTGTTGTAAATTCTCTCACTATTAAAGTCAGGACTAGGTTGCTGGTAAAATGGATTCTTGATAAAAATAATTGTCACTTACATTCAAAGCGATCATTGGTAATATTTCTACTCCCTTCTTTTTCAAAGCCACAACTGTTTCGACTGGCGCTTGGAGGTATTTGAATTCGAATTTATGCTGCCAAATAGAAGAATGAATAGCATTTGAAGATTAATCAGCCTAGGTTAATTTATGTCCAGGCATTAAGAAAATGGATAACATTCGATGATTACTTTGTGCATACTTTAAAGTCAGAAGAAAAAATCGTAATTTGAGAACTATGAATTTAAATTGAGGAACATTCCAAATTCGTAGCTCTTGAAGTTTGTAATCCTACACATTTCAAACTTACATGGAAACATTTATGGCTTGGTTCATGACCCGATGTTGTTCGACAACGATCCAATACAGCCTAAAAGTGTAGAATGTTATGGGTCATTAAACAATTGCAAGTGAAAGAACTTACAATAACAATACTACAATACCATTGAACCAGTCACACACTACTATTTGTCATGAAGAATGAGATACACAATTTAATACAATTAAAAGTTGGAATGATTTTACCAGGCATACATCTGGGAGGTGTTCAATAAGACCAAGCATTGGACAACCATACTTTGATGTCATCAGATCCATTGCTTCCTGCCATCTATAAAAAATAACTAATACTTACTTATATAATTTGAATACTAGTAGTTGCTTCTGCAGCCAATATGCATACCATTGGTTAAAAACGACTAAATACAATTATGCTAGTTCATATACTGGGTAGTTAGAATAGTGTCTTGAGGAACACTAGAATCGAGTTATTCTAAGTTTTCATTCGTTATATGGCTGTCTACTTTGGGAGATTATATCCAACTAGTCGTCCTGCATCTAATACATAATTCGCACCTGTCATTTGTGACTATTGCTAAAGCAACATCTTTATAAGTGTTCTGTATAGCAAGATCAAAGAATGTCATTCCATTGATATTCTCTGTGAATTCAGCGCCTATGGTCATCAGCAGAGTGACAGTACTAGTTTGGCCTTCTGCTGCAGCCAAATGAAGGGCACTGTCCTATAAAACAATACAATTATATGAATACCAAAACGCTTTGCTGAGGATTAGTTTAATGTCAAGTTTACACCCCTTCCCCCCCTCTCTCTCTAATCTCTCGTTCTACTTCTTCTATCTTCTCCACCTCTTTGTTGAGGCTGGTGTGTAGAAGGCATTTACAAGCAATCTGGGTATAATTGCCTAACAAAACGTTCCAATGAGATATAATGATGACATGCGGACTTCATACAATGTAACTCGACAATGTAAAATGAGGTATGAATATGTCAAATAATCAAGGTCATCACCTAAAAAGGATTTTTGGCAGCGAAAGGTAAATGGTCAAAACTAGTTCAACACTAGACTCTGATCTGCATAGGCATTTGCCTTGCTATTCCTTATAATACTATTTATACTGTAGTTATAAAATAAATGAGGGTTATCAACTTCACTGAATCAAAAAAAATATGCTTAATTGTATAACATATTACATAGTAACTTTAATAAATAGTTAGAATTTAACTTCAAAAGTACAATATTTAAAAACACAAACCGCATCCTTGTTGCAGGCGTTTAGTAGATGGGTGTGAACACTTAACAATAATCGTATACTTTGTGTATAGCCGTTCTGTGCCGCTAAGTGGAGAGGACTGTTACCTTTATTGTCCCTGAAACAATTGCTAACAATTGAAACAAAAGTTATTGCTTATATTCAAATATTCATAATCCAACTTTATGGTGTCGACCCAGGTGTTAGGACTGACGCCATGCACTACTGGGTTCATATTGGAGGTTTACCGCAAACTACAAAGTACCGTGTATTGAGCCTCGAAGCATTTTTGATAATTTATTCACATGTAATATCAGTAAAAATTACTCAGGTTAGCTATTATAATTACAAGAAACAGCAACATATTTAGCCTTAATCAAAACTCACTTAGTATAATTAAAGAAGCTTTTAAAATGCCATTACTCTGAACAAACAATCATGTTACTCAGACAGAAAAGTGACAACTGACTAATGAACTCTACTAATGGAATGTCTACCAGTGGTTGTGTAATGTACACAGAGTAACGTATCCAGCTACCAGTTGATTCATATACGGGTCTTGCTTTTCTCTGGAAACTTCGCTCAGTGAATAATTAATTGATCAACAGTAAAAACAACGGGAACTTGTATTCAACGTGATCATATATTTTTAAAACACCAGTAAATAATCATCATTATTAAAGGCGTATACACTTATTTGAACACACGAATGTGATGAAACACTTGGAGACTTAAAATTGATAAAAATGACAACATAAAATGTCAAATTTCAAAAGAATGATTGACATAAAAACAGAGACCATTGCAGGGACGTATTACAATGAACGACCATCTTAATACCTTTGTAAAACAGCTCCCTTCTGTATGAGAAGTTGAATGACTTTAGTATGGCCATTCATAGATGCGATGTGAAGAGCTGTAAGGCCATCCCCATCTGTCTCGTTTATGAGATTTGATCCTTGAATACTATCAAGCAATCGCCTTATCGTGTTATAACGACCATATCTAAAATATATATATACAGTAATTATCAAATAAACAATTATAAACCGAGGCACTTTTTGTTTACAGTAGCCGCGACAAAACAAGTCAGGAGTCTTTATTTTCTTAATTTATCTATTTCAATCAGTTGTAATATTATCAAAACAAAATTATTTAGTTATATATGTTCTCACTTTGCTGCAAAATGGAGAGGAGATTGCCTTTCATTGTTTTTGCAATTCAGAAGTGCCCCAAGTTTGATTAGTTCTGCTATAGCTGCCAAATGACCTTCCTTTGAAGCATAATGCAATGGACTACATCCGGAAACATCTTTGGCATCTAGTAGGTCTTTAGCACACTATAAGACAAGTGGGAAGAATTATCAATATCGTAACAAATACATTTATACAATAAGCATAGTATTTACAGTGCAGACTTTCAATAAAATACATAAAACAACCTATACATCTAATATTTATTATGCAAAGAGATAGTTGTGTTAGATCAATTGTAGTACCTCTATTGCCTCCAGTCGCTCGAATCGAAACATTTCTACTTTTGCCCCGTTCATAATGGCTAGGTGTAAAAAGTTCCTTTGATTGTCATCTTTCAGCCCCAGACATGATTTAAAATTCAAGAGAACATCTACTGTTTTCCAACTACATTTAGAGGCAGCGAGAAGTAAAGGTGTTCTACCCTCTTTGTCTTTGGCATGGACAGATGCACCATTTTCTATTAAATGAGTTGCAATTTCAGGGTTATCGACCAGTGCAGCGATATGTAATGGCGTCATCATCAACACATCCTTTTGGCGTATGACATGACCAACGGAGTCTGGATATTTTTCGAACATTACTTTTATCATTTCAAGAGAACCCTGTGAACAGGCCAGGTGGATTGGGTTGGACCCATCATCCTACAAAATAAAGTCATAACATAATCTCCGATTTGTATTCAAATACATGTGTCGTACCTGTGCTAATAATGATTTCGGAAAACAATCGATAAACGAGTGTAATATATATTATATAATATAATAAGAATCTTTCAGCTAGAGTCAACATACACGTGGCCTTTCGATGCATATTTTTTTATAACTTTGGAAATAGATTTCTTCGGTAATTGTATGTACATGATGTGAGCTAAATAAAGCTATACCTGTAGGGCATCAATTTGTGCACCAGCATTTAGACAAATCTTTACCGCCTGAAATAACGATAATTTACACGGTCAAGACACAGAAGCCTGGTACAAAAAGGTGAATAATTTTAATTACACACTGCATAATGTCAAGATTTGTATATTTTCAATACAATACATGAATTCTGCGATTTTACAATGTATTCAAAGTACATTTCAAAGTAACGTTCATATTTACTTCGATATCTCCTCCATTCACCGCAGAATGCAATGGTCTATTCCTCGATTTGTCCATAAATGACATCATTTCATTTCTCCTATATCCAAGTTTCTCACCTAAACAAACATTCATACAATAAATTCTAAAAAAAAAGTTGTTATATCAGACAAAAGAAGACTGTAAAAGTAACTGAAATAGTAGTAAATTAAATTACTAGGGGATCTGAGGTATCGTAACATCATTACAGAGAAAGAAAATTACTTACCCGCTTCTATCATAAGTTCAATGGTTTTGTGTGCTTTATTCATACATGCTATATGAAACGGATAGAATCCGATGTCACATGGCTTACACATCAGTGCTCCATGGTCCAACTATAATAGTTTAAAAATATGATTATTACAATCATGACGTAAATCATGAACAAGATATATATAATATATATATATAATGAACTGATATACGAGCTTCTAGACCTCTTGAATTTTGTCCGTCCCACATCATTTGAGACTAAATGCTCTATCTTGTATGAATAGTAGTATCTACAACTATTTCTGTTTTGGCTATCAATTTTACATTCATTCAACATGCATTGTAGTATGGCTTGTGTATGAATGAAATTGGTTTTAGTCTAAGATTGTGATGCTGGTCCTAAAATGGTGGAGGTTGGGGTATTAGACACTGTTTTTACACGTTGGATTATAATTTAGGATAGTTGGGGTTTGGTGTACTCTTATATGTTTTCTTTTTTCTGCTGTGTTTTGTAACGATTTTTGGTACATTCCCGTTGGCGCTTGAACCTTGAACTTTTTAAAGTTCAAATATCAATAATAACTTACCAGAATTTTAGCACAATCTGACAAATCCTTGTATGCTGCCAAATGAAGTGGAGTTTGACCATGCTCTCCCCCAACGTTTACGTCAACAATGTCGTCCTTCAGAATAGCCTAAATTGTTATGCTCAAATTAGTGTCAACATTTCATGGTATCATTTAGTTATCGAGAAATGTAAATAATACGAAATCAATATGATGACAAAATCTATAGTATAGAACAGTTAGAAAGCAGCTACTCACCGTCACGCAGTCAGGTTTATCCAAATCGACCGCGATATGTAATGGGGTCAATTTATCTTTGTTAAAATGTCTCCAGTCAGCTTTACGTAACAGCAAAAATTGTATTGCATCTATCTGTTCTTTTTCGACGGCTATGTGTAAAGGTGTCATGCCTGATTTATCTGCTGCATTGATATCTATTAGAAGAAGTGTAAATCAAATCACGACAGTTCATTAAAGCATTGCATTATAAATTATGCATTTTGATTATGAGCTAGCTCACTAGTAAATTGGTATCATCATATCGGATAATCATAAGAATATTTCAATACACTCCTAGTTCATATAAAATGAGATATTTTGAGATATATAAATAGATAAATTAAAGAACTAAAATGTCCAAATGGAAAAGAAAATAGGAATTGTAAAGGAGTTTATTTTGGAACCCTTCTAAACTTTGAAATGAGCCATCAACTAAAAAAGGATAGCCACGAGCCAGATGTATTACATGGCTCTCAAATGGCTATCTGGGATACCTTTTTCCAAGATCTGAACGAGTCTTAACTTTAAGAATAGAATACTTTTTAGCCATAGTAATTTTATGCTCGCTTACCACCGCCATGTGTCAGGATGAAGTCCATTATTTCGAGCCTTGACTTGGACGCAGCGTGATGTAAAGCTGTCCACATTTTGTGGTCCACGATCTGAAGGCGATTTTCATCAGCATAGAAAATTCTCTCAAATTCGCCAATATTTCCATTCGCTGCCATCTGAAATCAAACAACATGTTATATAATATGTTTAGTTTTTGGAGCTCGCTTCAGGTATTACTAAAAAGCCCTAAAAGTTTGGAGCTGCATCACTAAATTTCCTCCCGGAATTTCCTGATACTCTGGATCCTTCCATTTTGTACCTATATTTACTATCTGTCTTGGAAAAAAAAATTAGTAAAAATTACAGATTGTGAGGGACAAAGGGTTCGATTTATCAAATGAAACAAGTGAGATTGAGAAATTCGAAGGTTGTATGAATATGATTTATCCAGTGTCAAAACAGATGTGAAGTACTTCACATATTTACATTAGATTTTACCTAAATCAAGATTAGCACGTTTAGATCATTCATTTATTCACGATATAATGTAATATTTGCAATACAGGTTTTTATTGAGACCAGTTTTGTTAATATAATTATATATCTTAATTTTTGTACTTGGCAACTAAGGATTACCCTATGGGTCTCATCTCACTACAGTTCAACTACATAAAATGGAAAAATGATATGACACTTGCACTCATTACTTCGTTGTAAACACCAAGTAATCCTCACTATTATTTAAGAAATATAGACCGAAGAGCAGGGGAAATGTCGTCGAATACACCCAGCAGGGCTAGGCACAAACATTTTCTGTATTCTATATTACGATTCGAACATGAAAAATCACCAAAATGTTTCAAATATTCATTATGGTCCGCCATTACTACGGCCCGTCGTTATGAGGTTACACATTACTCGTATTACCATTGGCATTGTTCGCGAATATACCCCGGGTGAAATGTTGACTTTGTATACAGATTATAGAAGGTCTGAATACAGTCATGTTCGAATTTTTAGTAGTATATAAGAGATTCTACAGAATGTTGATATCAAAATAACCCATACAATCTCATAATCAACTTTTTTTTATCAAAATACAATTTTAAACACATTTTTCCTACTTGAAAGAAATGTTTATTATCTTCCTCCCATGTCCGTCCACCAACAATCCTGTCATGGATATGTCGCAACTTTTCTTTGATATGTTCACTCTTCTCAGCAATCTTAATTTTATGTCTGTCCGCATTATCTTGAACATGCTTTCGTATCTGCTGTTTTCTCTCTTCAACTCTATGCTTCCTCTGCCAGTGTTTTTTTGTCAAACGAAATGGATTAAGTCTACCATGTTGTGCGGTGCCATACGCGACAGTTGATTCCCTGGTATCGAGAGCAGTGTTGAAATCAGGTTTTGAAATGTTATCATTGATGTTTTCCATACTTCCACAAGTATTCAATTTGTAATCTTGTTGTAGTAAGGCAACTTGGATGGAAGAAATTTCTTGTTTGTCTTCTTTGCTGAGTACTCTCTTTAATTCTTTAGCCATTTCAGATTTTACTCCAGGTTATAATACATACATCTATGTCTTATCGTCCAATGATTCACTTTATAATATTAGAAAGGCCACACCTTCTGAAAAGCTTTCTATCTACTAATATACGCTTGTTAAATGTTAATGACATTGCAATTAGTGCGTTGTTCTCCGATCAATCATCATTCCGAATGTTATTATAAAAGACTTCCCAGAGGATCTGGATGACTCTACAACATGTTTACACCCTTATTAATAAACAAGGTACATACTTGTCTTTTTTAAGCGTCCTGATATATCGTTTATCCATTAATTGAGGGGAAAGCATCATCTTCAAATTGTTTCCCAACATTGACAGTTTTGCCAAAAAATACTTTATGTTAAGCACCATAGTGAGTTTCAAATATCAGTGAACAATGAAGTCATTGCAACATTTTTAGAAATGAGTTGGAAAGTTTCATGAATCTTAACTAGTTTGAAGACAATACGTGTTGTCTTATTTGTTGTATACACCAATTATTCATCCACGGAGTACCAATTACAAAAGTCGCGAGATCGACTTTAGGCACACTTTTTAAAAAGTTATGAGATAACATTCAATTTAAATTTTGATGAATTCGATGACATTTACTCATTTAATGCTAATTAATGTTTTTTTCGTTCAACTTTGCTACACTATTAGTAAACTATTAGACAAAAACATATGGTTAATGAAAACACAGAATGAAATCCTGTGCTAAGGGATGATGTGAAAAAGTCAGTCCACCCTGGTGGAGATCGAACGTCGGTTATGAATTCCAATCGCTTGAAATAAATTATTATCAAATCTGTCTTTCAATTTAATAAAAACGAAGCTGATGGCACCCACCTTTGCTAGATTGTGAAACATATTGCTTTTTATAAAGGAAAATCTACCTTTAAGGTAAATACTATAATATCCTTCATTCTGACATTCATAACACTTTTTCCTTCACTGTGACTGAGGACAAATAAGATGATATCACAATATCAAAATATAACAATTTTTGAACAGATTATTCAAACTTTATGAGATGATATAGGTTATTATGATATCAAAATACCATTTTAAACAGATTATTCCTATTTGAAAGAAAAGTTGATTTTGAGATAGTACAGGTTATTATGATATCAAAATATCATTTTAAATAGATTATTCAAACTTGAAAGAAAGGATGATTTTGAGATGGTGTAGGTCATTATGATATCAAAACACCATTTTGAACAGATTATTCCTACTTGAAAAAAGGTTGATAAGGTTTTTATGATATCAAATCACAATTTTAAATAGATTATTTCAACTTGAATGAAAAGTTGATTTTGAGATGGTAAAGGTCATTATGATATCAAAATACCATTTTGAACAGATTATTCATACTTGAAGGAAAGGTTGATTTTGAGATGGTAATAGACGGGTAGGAAGGAGGGGTTCCCATGCACCCGAAAGATGTATTTTTTAATGTACATTTTTGTAATCCTAAAGGTCCATACTTAAGATTTTTGCATGTTCCCAGAATGAAATAATGTCCCATGGTACTCATTGGCGGCCATCTTGTCCGCCATCTTGGATTTTTGAAAGAGTTGATGTTAATTATCTCAAAATATAATAACTTCCAGAGTTTTGAGATTTGAAAGCTGTAAGTGGTACCAAAATGAAGCTATTATAGTATCCTATATTATCAGATGCAATAATTATGCAAATTGTCTCATTTGCATAAAATGTGACATCATCAATCATAATTCTTGCCTCTTTACAACGGTATCACATTATACCTTTCTGCCTGAGTGATCAGTCTTAGTCATTCATTCACATAAATGAATTTAAATATATAGGTACATTAATTTTGAACATATTTGCAACAAAAAAATTCGAAACTTTTGGAAAAACATTGTCAGACACACGATAATGTTACTGAAAAGAGGCGTGGCACTTCTTGTGAAAGAATTGATCTTAATTATCTCAAAGTATAATAACTTCCACAGTTTTGAGAGTTGAAAGCTGCAAGTGGTACCAAAATGAAGCTATATCCCATATTATAAGATGTAATAATTAAAATAGTCTCATTTGCATAAAATGTGACATCATTAATTGTAATTTTTGCCTCTTTACAACGGTATCGCACAATACCTTGCTGCCTGAGTGACCAGTCTTAGTCATCCATGAACATAAATGAATTTGAATATATAGGTACATTAATTTTGAACATATTTGCAATTGAATGGTTTGGAAAAACATTGTCAGACACTAAGTTATAACACTTCACATGATTATGTTACTGAAAGGGGGCGTGGCACTTCTTGAGAAAGAGTTGATGTTAATCATTTCAAAGTACAATAACTTCCACAGTTTTGATAATTGAAAGCTGTAAGTGGAACAAAAATGGAGCTATTATAATATACTTATAAAAATGTAATAATTATGCAAATTTTCCCATTTGCATAATATGTGACAACCTCTATTATTTTTGGCATTTTTCAATGGTAACGACCAATATCTCTCCCTCTAGGTAACAGTCTTGGTTATTCATGAGCATTTATGATTTTGAATATATAGGTACATTAATTTTGAACATATTTGCAATTGAAATTTTGGGAAAACTTCATAAGAAATTAAGTGTTGACACTTCACATGATTATGTAACTGAAAAAGGGGGGGGGGGGCACTTTTGTTAAAAATGTTAACTTCTAAACACTAATATCAAATTCAAGGGCTGAAGCTCCTCTAGCAGAGTCACGTAGATAGAGCCCAAATGTTGCTCATTGGTGAAATTTTGGCCAAATTTTGCATCTTGTATGCTCTGCTTACAAGCACATGAAGTGTTCATTATGATAGTGTAATTCCAATATGACAGCACAATAGAAGTCAGGCTATTTTATTGTCACATATGCAAAAGTCGATCTGATGAGACATGTTAAAAGTGGTAGTGGTTAATAATGCCCAGATCAAATTAACACGAGATAGATATTGAAGGTAGGCCCAGATCAAAGAATGGTCATCCTTAGCCTCAATCATGACGCCATCTGTATTGTCCATTAGTGGGAGTTGTAACCCAAATAATGAGTATATGATTCAATGTATGTGTCATTCAGTTGCCATGCACTTGGTGCAGTTGGAGGTTTCTTCCTTGCCCAAAAGTCTGAGGTTTGATGGAGTTGAGACCAGGTCAGGGAAAGCTCTTAATAGGAAATGGAGCCTCCCTTGGTTCATGGACCAAAGGTCATTCCATTTCAAGAAGTGCTGAAGTGAGGGTTCCCAGGTAATGTCAGGTAATTCCCAGGTAATGTAAATCTGGAAAGGCCACTGAAATCGGGGAGTAATATCATGACACCCCGATATATGACTTGAGTCAATGGCTCTAAGCCACTTGTCCAGGTCCCTTGACACTTCAGCTGTTTTGTTCAAACCACACATAGTTCTTCTCTAGACATTTGTTTCTTTATCTTGCCCTGTTGGTATTTGATTGCCATTTATTTTGAACTGCATTGGAGAAAGCTTGCCATCAACCAAAACCATGCTTCTTGACCTGGTTGGTTTTTAACTTCATGCAAGTACCCACTTTCAACTTGTACCCACTACTGAACTGGTCATAACTGTGATATCATCCATGAAAGCTCTGTATGGTAAG